CGCACGCACGCACGCACGCGCACCACCACCGCGCACCGCCACCACCACCGCACTACCCCACCCACCACCACCACGCTACACCGCGTCACACCACATCACACGCGCGCACACACAGACACACACGCACGCACGCACGCACACACACACACACACACACACACACACACACACACACACACACACACACACACACACGCACGCACGCACACACACACACACACACACACCACCACCACCACCACCGCCACCACCACCACCGCCATCACGCACGTACGCACCTGGCCCACCACCAAACCACCAAGACGCCACACCACGTCACACCACAGCACACGCGCACACACGCACACACACACACACACACACACCACCACAACAACCACAACCACGCACACACGCACGCACGCACGCGCACCACCACCCACTACGCACACGCGCGCGGAGCCACAGGTCCGCTACGACACGCGTCCGCGGATAGAGAAAATCAGCGCCATGGTAAGGGATGGGAGGGAGGGGTAGGATGTCAGATGTTGACGCGAGCGCACCTAACTTGTCCTCCTCCTCCTCCTCCTCCTCCTCCTCCTCCTCCTCCTCCTCCTCCTCCTCCTCCTCCTCCTCCTCCTCCTCCTCCCTCCTCTCCTCCTCCTCCTCCTCCTCCTCCTCCTCCTCCTCCTCCTCCTTCCTCCTCCTCCTCCTCCTTCCTCCTCCTCCTCCTCCTCCTGCTCCTCCTGCTCCTCCTCCTCTCCTCTCCTCCTCCTCCTCCTCCTCCTCCTCCCTCCTCCTCCTCCTCCTCCTCCTCCTCCTCCTCCTCCTCCTCCTCCTCCTCCTCCTCCTCCTCCCTCCCTCCTCCTCGTCCTCCTCCTCCTCCTGCTCCTCCTCCCTCCTCCTCCTCCTCCTCCTCGTCCTCCTCCTCCTCCCCTCCTCCCCCCTCCCCCTCCACCTCCTCCTTCTCCTCCTCCTCCTCCTCCTCCTCCTCCTCCTCCTCCTCCTCGGGTCGCCTACGGCCCCGGGGGAAACCGGGCAATTGGACCGGGTCGTCAGCTTCCCTTGAACGGAGACCTGGATAAACCAGAACATCAACGCGCCCGAGAAAGCTGCAGCCGAGGGCCGAAGCATCCATCCTTCGCCGTCTCCAGGCGGCAGTCTCAAAGTCCTGTTCGCAATGTCCGACCAGATGCTCGACGAAGACCTGCACGCCAAGGTCACGCGCTCCGCGTCCTGCGCGCGCAGGGCAGCTCCGAAAAGTGCCCCACCCACAGCGCCGACAGGGGCGCCGCGGCGAGGGACGCCGCCCCCGCGGAGCCGCAGGCGAGGCCGAAGGCGGTGAGCAGGCCGCGCAGAGCTTCGTTGAGCATCTGGGAGCCCGCAGGGCTGAAGCATCCCTGCCTTAGCTGCCTGGATACGCCCGTTTTGATACGCAACACGTGCCGTGTTTAAGACGTCCGTGTCAATACGTTGCGTGTTGGCTTCACGTGTTGGCCCACGTTTTGGCGAACGTATCGCGTCGGACCTACGTTTTCAGTCCACGTGTTGAACTCCGTATCAATACGCTACGTGTCGCGTGTTGCGTATCGGGGCAGCCTGCTCGAGGTTCAAAGTCTTGGCTCCCCAGGCGCCCGACACCATGATCTGTTCACAGCGTCGGCCCCCAGAGGTCTCGACACACTCCCCCCAGGGCCGGCTCCTCATCCCCAGTCGATTTGTTGATGGCCCTGAGGCCCAGCAAGGGCCCCCAGAGGCCAAAATGGCGAACGAAGATGTTCCGTCATGATTTTTGTCGCGATGCGAGGGGGTCTGGGTTATGCTCTAATCCAGACCCCCTCGCGTCGTGTCAACGGCGTGGAACTTCCGGGAGCAGTTGGATATGTTGCCGGAGAGAGCTGCGGAGCAAAAGCTTCGAGGGTCGTGTTGCCGCGGAGTGGTGTGGAGGAGGCAGCTTCTGGGAGCAGCTGGATTTGCTGCAGCAGACTGCTCTGGACGGAACGGCCACGGCAGCCAGAATCTGGGCGGATCAACAGCTTCCCTGTCGAAGGCGGTTTTTGGTAGGTCAGGGGGCCCTCACGTCCCGGAGGAGGAGGAGGAGGCGGAGGAGGAGGAGGAGGCGGAGGAGGGGAGGAGGAGGAGGAGGAGGACGAGGAGGAGGAGGAGGAAGAGGTGGAGAAGGTGGAGGAGGAGGAGGCGGAGGAAGAGGAGGAGGAGGAGGGAGGAGGAGGAGGAGGAGGAGGGATCGGCCGGGGAGACGAGGCGGAGCGGAGCAGCCGGCCGGCCGTGCATCGGTGGGTCAGCCGAGGCACCGGAAGGCGCGCGCCGCAGGCGTGCCCTTTTGCCGCGGAGGCGAAAGGGCCAGACGTCCGCCAGCATGATTTCTCGAATCCCTGAGGTCCTGGCGTCTCAATTTTTTCGAGCTGGGCGTTTTCGCCTTCTTTCGGGCCCCAGGACCCTCACGAATCGATCCTGCTCGAAGAACGGCGCAGAAGGATGGGATCTTGGGGCTCCAGGCGTGATTTTTTACGATGTTGCCATTTTTCCGCTTCGTCGGAGCTGAGGGATACCTGCGCGGCCCCAGGGGGCCCGACCCCAGACGTGCTCGTGTCGTACAAGATCGCGACGGCAGGTGCGTGACCATTTTCGGCCTCCAGAGGCCCTCGCCGGGCCTCGGAACCGTCAAGGGACTGTTCGGGAGGAAGATCGGAGGGCGACGACAGGGGGCGAATAGCCCAGGGGGAGCAACACATGCATCCGGGGGCGCCGATGGTGCATGCCTTCGGTGATGCTCCCGGGCGACGACGTGTAACGCCCGCCCCTCGGCTACTCGCCCCTATCGTCGCCTCCGAAGGAAGCACCGGCCCTGAGGAGGAGGAGGAGGAGGAGGAGGAGGAGGAGGAGGAGGAGGAGGAGGAGGAGAAGGGGGGGGGAGGGTCGGGGCTTCTGGGGGCACCGCACGGAGAAAGTCAAGGCCTCGGAGGGCTGGGTCCACCAACGTGGCGTTGCTCCGCTCGCGGACCCGTGGGTCCCGACCTCTCCCTGGGGGGCAGGCTCTCGCCCTGGGCTTGGGTCGGGCGTGTCCCCATACAGAAGGAACATCAGAAAAAAATCAAATTGTCTGGGGATGGTTTTTCGACCATGCTTGATCATTGTTTTGGTTTTTTGTTGGCCATCTTTTCATTTTCGTCCAAAATCCGCCTGTAGGGGGACATGCCCGACCTAACCCTGGGCCCAGTTTTGGTGAGCCTGGGGCCCGAAGTAGCTGGCCCCCCCGAGAAGCCGAGATCGAGGAGGGGCGCCCCGGAGTGACAGCAGGCCGGGAAGCAAACGACCACGTCATCGGAGATCTGTGACGATCTAGGCTTCTATCAGCCACGCGCAGAGGGGGGAGGGAGGAGGGGGGAGGGCTTCTTAATTCTTAGAAGGCGCGGGCCTTATCTATAGACGTAAGGCCGGCGCCTTCTAAGAAGCAACCTCCTGCTAAGAAGCCCTTCCTCCTCCCCCCACCCCCTTCTGCGCACGGCCAATCCTAGATGGGTTGGGCGCAGAGGGGGTAGGAGGATCGCGCCGCATCGTCGATGCATCGGCGCTGCGGCTCGATGCGGAGCCCGATGTTCTCCGCGCCTGCGTCGCCGATGCATCGCCGATGTATCGGCGATGCGGCGCGATCCTCCGACCCCATCCACTCCGACCTATCTGGGAGGCCTCTAGACTCAAGTCGGGCGTGTCCCTCTACAAGAGGAATATCAAAAAATTATCCAAAAATAATATGGGGACGAGTTCTTGACCATTTTTGAGAATGTTTGGGTATGTTTTGACTATTTCCGTCCAAGATCCGCCTGTAGGGGGACACGCCCGAACTAACTCTAGGAGGCCTCTAGACGAGGGCCCCAGCACGGCGGCGCAGAAGCTCAGCGCAGAGGCCACAGCTGCTGCGCACGGTGCGCGGTGGCGCGCGACAGCTCGCCACGCGGGTGTCGGGCGGCGCTGGCGGCGCCGCTGCCCGACCTGAATGCTGAATGCCTGCGGCGCCACGCACGCGCCACGCCGAGTGGGATTCGGCCAGCCAGCTTGTGGCCCATTCTAGCTCTCGCTGCGGCGACGTCGCGCGGCCGCTGGAGGAAGCAGTGCGCGGCAGCTCGCCGCCCGGGTGTCGGAAGCGCTGGCGCCGCCGGCCGACCTGCCGGCGGCGATGCCCAGAGCGGCGGCCGAGCTACCGGTTGGACTCGCGCTGCGCCGGTTCACCGTCCGTTGCTCGCGCGGCGTGCAGTTGTGGCGATTCGGGGGGATCGGCGACCATCAGCACCATCACAACCATCACCACCATCACCATCATCTTGCTCCTCCCCCTCTGGCTGCTCCTTGTCCTCATTTTCTTCCTCCTCCATTCCCTCCTCATCCTCCTCTGTTGCCTCCTCCCTCCTCGTCCTCCTCCTCCTCCTCCTCCTCCTCCTCCTCCTCCTCCTCCTCCTCCTCCTTCTCCTCCTCCTCCTCCTCCTCCTCCTCCTCCTCCTCCTCCTCCTCCGCCTCCTCCTCCTCTCCTCCTCCTCCTCCTCCTCCTCCTCCTCCTCCTCCTCCTCCTCCTCCTCCCTCCTCCTCCTCCTCCTCCTCCTCCTCCTCCTTCTCCTCCTCCTCCTCCTCCTCCTCCGCCTCCTCCTCCAGCCCAGAACTCCGATAACGTGATGCACTCATACCGTGGACCCTGCAAGGTCTGGACCGCTTCCCTGGGACCCGCTCTCCATCCCGAGACGTTTTCGACGGTCTTGTGACCCAGTGAGGGCCCCCAGAAGCCGAAGATTGCCAAAAACCGCCCGTCGTGAGATTTGATCGCGGCGAAAGGAGGAGCAGGGTCCTCCTGCTCCCTCCCTCCCTCCCTCCTGTTGCGCCTGCTCCTCGCCCCCCTCCCCTCGTGAGCCCCCCCCCCTCGTGAGCCCCTCCCCCTCCTGGCCCCTCCCCCTCCTGGCCCCTCCCTGCTCCTCGCCCCCCTCCCCTCGTGAGCCCCCGCCCCCCTCCCACAGCTCGAGCCCGCGGCCGCCGTCGCCGGCGCGGTGGGCCTGGCGGAGAACGCGCCACCCGACTCCGGGGGCAGCGGCGACGACGAGGGCGATCCACCCGCCGCCCCGGCCGCTCCGCGCGCCTCGGAGGCTGATAGCACCAAGGGCTCCCACGAGGGCGCGAAGTTATTCGCGCTTCGCGGTCCTCGATCCTTCTCCCCCTCCTCCTCGTCCTCCTTTTCTCCCTTTGGGGGGGCGGCGCGAGAGCGCGAAGTTATTCGCGCTTCGCGGAGCGCGAAGCGATTAGCACCCAGATTTACGTCGGGCGTGTCCCTCTACAGGAGGAGTATTCAAAAATGGTCCAACAATAGTCTGGGGACGATCTTTCGACCCGTTTTGAGCATGTGTTGAGCATGCTTGACTATGTGTTGTTTTTCGCCCAAAATCCGCCTGCAGGAGGACATGACCGACCTGAAGGTTGATAGCACCCAGATCTCCGACCACACGATTTTGGTTCAAGCCGGGCGCTCTTCCCGGAGTTCAGCCTCCAGGGCCTGCGTTCGGGCCCCGGGCCGTGAAAGGTGGGCCCAGGGCGAAAAAAAAGCTGCCCTTGGGGAAGGGGCGGGGGTCTATGCGGGGGCCGCGCATTGAGCATGATTATATGGGAGCGTGTCAAAGTTCACTGCGTAAGAAGTCCACTGCAACAATGATCCCCACCGGAGGGCAGCGTAAGATATCAGAGGGTACAGTGGAGACCGATGCTAAGGAACACCCTGCCTGCCTCCAGGGTGCCCTGGGCTTCCTGGGTCTCGATGGCTTTGCTATGGAAAGCGCGACGCTCCCACCAGAAATCAGTGAACCCCCCTGGGGTCTCAGGGTTGGGTCTCTCGTGGAAGGTTTCTTGTGGTCGGGACCCTATTGTAATCAGATGGGAGCGTGTCAACGTTCACTGCGTGAAAAGTCCAATGCACCAATGATGCCCACCGGAGGGCAACAAAAAATACCATGGGGTACGGCCTCCCTGACTGGTCGGAGGTTGATAGACCTACCCTGACACGTCGATTAACGATTTGGTCGTTTTCTGTTCGCGAGATGGCGTCGCGGCCGTCATTTTTGCGGGTCCAGGTCCGTCGTTATCGTTGTCGGTGTCGCGTCCCGTCCCGTTGTCGTGATCGTATTTCGGGAACGAACGATGACATAAACATAAAAACTCAGGTCCGCGTGGATTTCTCGGATCCGCGCTAGGCCCACCCCGCGGCGCCTCCGGCGCCGCCCCTGGCACGCTCCGCGCGCCAGGGAGCGGGGTCCAGGCGGATCTCCGAGTTGTTATGTTTATGTCATTATTCGTTCCCCTATTCCTTCTACCGTTGCTCATCTTGCTCATGTTGCTGCTCCTTGTCCTCTCCGTCGTCGTCCCTTTTCCGATTATGTGATTGCTGCTTCTCCTGATCCTGCTCCTTCTGCTCCAGCTCTTGCTCACGTATGCTGCTTCTTCACCACCTCGTAGGAGGTCGAGGTGGAGGAGGCGAAAGGGGAAGAGCAATGAGAAGAGCATGGGGAGGAGGAGGGACCAGTGCAAGCCCAAGATGCATCAACGATGTTGCAAGAAACCCTCCACCCCAGCTCCATCTCTATAGGTTACCACACGAAGGTATGTTCAATGCGGGAAGTGGCCCATAAGATTACATCTGTTTGAGAATCTTCAGTCGTGCCAAAGCACCAGTCCTGGGACCCCAACACCGGGCCAACGTGACTGCTGCGCGCTGGCAATCTAAATCGTGCCAAAGCACCATTCCTAGGATTTTAACACCGCGAATCGACGTGACTGTCGCATCCTGACAACCCTATATCGTGCCAGAACGCCATTCCTGGGATTTCAACCATACGAACGGACCGTCGATCTTTCGGCGGCTCGTGGCCCTCTTGGACCGTCCAGACGGTCTCTTGGGGCCCTCTTGGCTTGTTTTGGGGCCCTCTGTCCCCCCGTGATGAGTTCGGCCGGTCCCCGGGGACCCCCCCCCTCCCCCTCCAAATCGACTGGACCAGGCTCCCGGAAGAGGGGCTTGCGGAGGGGAAAGCATCTCAATCGCGTGTGAACTCCAAGGGGTCGGCGGATCTTTCTCGCCTCCCAAGGCGATGCCACCTGGCGAGTCGGAGAGGATTCGTATGTTTCCCGTCCCTCGGCGTTGCCACGTGAAGAGTACACGCCGGTCGTTGAAAGTAGGTATTTCTGGATTTCTAGATCCCAATCAAATTCAAGCGCCTTCCTACTTCAGGAATCGGCATGCTTTTGCTGTGTCTTGTTATTCTCTGGGAGGGCCTGGACCCCATCCACTTCATCTTTCTTCCTACTTCATGTTTTTACCTACTTCTTCTGACCGACGTGTAGTAGTCTTGCTTCGCCCCCCGTGCGTTGCCGCGTGGCGCGCCGAACGGAGCAGCTTCTTTTCCGCGCCGTGCCGTTTCCGCTCCGCGCGCCCATTGGCCCCGCAGGCCTGCCCGGAGTCGATGATTCCGGGTGTGTCTGAGGTGGACACTTTCTCAAGCGCTCGGCCCGGTTCAGGCGGAACTGTCGCCCCCCGTCAATGGCTCGGCACGGCATGTGCAAGGAAGAGGACGTTCAATCAATTGCTTGGCCCGGTATGTGCAAGGAAGATGACTCTGCTGACGGAGGGCGGGAGAACGGTGAGCGGAAGCTGGATGCGGCTAGAGAAAGTCGAGCAGGAAAGAAAGCACGACGCGAACGGAAAAGCCCCTCACACACGCCGACAGGGTCGGCGGATTTTCTCAAGCGCTTGGCCTGGTTCGGGTGGAACCGTCGCCCCTGCTGGGCTTCAAGCCTGATCCAAAAGGCTGCGGAGAGCAGAGGGCGCAGGCTACTCCCCGCCTGTTGCTACCCTCCCTCGGCGCTGTACTCGAGTCGGCCTGAGAGAGCTGCGTGGTTTTGTTTAAGCCAGATCCAGCTTCAAAAACACGCAGGACTCCCGATCCGCCCGGAAGTTCTCAAAATCAGGCCGTCCAGTGGATGACGATTGAAAACCGGTCCTGAGGAATAGCGCCATTATCCTAATTTTCGTCGGCTTTTGGAGGTCCAGCGTAGTAGGCTGTCACGCACAACCCGTCGAGATCTCGCAGCTCCTTGGTGCGCTGCGAATTGCGCAAGTGTCGCCACTTTGGCGGTTTGGGGTGTCACGCGCACCCCGTCGAGATCTTGCAGCTCCCCGGGGGGCTGCGAACTGCGCAATTGTCGGCGCTCACGTGGGCTCCTGGGAGGTCCAGCGGAGTTGGGTGTCACGCAAACCCCACCGAGACTTCGCGGCTCTCTTGGAATTCAGGTTCTGGGCTTAGAATGTTTTCGTTTGGTGTCTTGCGGGGTTCATGGTTTGGCTTGCCGTGGATTCTGGGGTTGGGCTCCCGATTCCAGGTTTTGCCAGAATGGATTCCGGGTTTCGTCTCTTCGGGAATTCCAGCTTTCGCCCAGAAAAATTTGGGGTTTGGTTGCCGACCAATTTTATGCACTAAGTTCCCGTGGTGCCAGTTATCACACATAACACCGCCAGCAGCATCCAGTTCTTCGGCTCTCACACTCAGCACCGCCCTCACAGCCACGAGTGCCACCGCGAAACCATCTTGCTGGTGACTTCGACGTCGGGCTCGCCCAGAGCTCCTGTGCCAGATACTAGGATTTTCTCAAGGCTAGAATCGCGGGGACCCGCTAAGCCTGTTAGCAGGCCTTGTCAGCAGGGCCTTCCAGGGAAAACCCAGCCTCGGGAGAGGATAGAGTTCTGCCGTTGCTTGTCAGAGTATGCGGCCCTCTCGAAGTTGCCGTGCATTCGAGGTGAGTGGAAGCGGGCTTCCCAACGCTGGGCTTGTCTTCGGGCGCGCTTCGGCCAGAATCTCGCGGCGGATCGAGCCGCGCCCACGAGAAGCCCCCCAGAGGCCCGAGAAGGGCGGAGAATGCCCAGCTTAGCTGCCCTGGCATGCACGTGTTGAAACGCCGCGCGCACCGTGCTCCGCACGCCTCACGCACGTGCTGACCCACATTTTGGCGGAGGGACTTCGCCAGGGCTTGCGCATTCAACCTGCGTGTCGATCTCCGTACCAACACGCTGCGGGCTGCTTGCTGCGCATCGGGGCAGCCGAGATGCTCAGAAGCCTCCTCCCTCGAAGCTCGCTCCTCCCATTGTCGCCGACGAGAGGCGAGGATCGCCGTCGCGCCGGGGGGGGATTGAGAGGGAGCAGGCCCTCTCAGAAAGCGGCGGGGCTTCTCAGAATTCCTCCAGTCTTCTATGAAGTGTTCTGTGTTGGTTGGGGTTGGTTGGTGAATGCATTGTCTTGAATCGTCTTCTCGGCATCAGTGCCACAGCGTCGATGGGAGGCAAAGCATTTCGATATAGTAGAGTTTTTGCTAGAACTCGCTGAGCAAGCAAGGATACAGCCAAGGTAGCAGAGTCTTGGCCAAGCACAGAATCATCGCCGCCAGAGCGTGTGTGTTGCCCATTCCCTGTGAAGTTTTCTGTGTCTTCGGGGATTCATTGTGCACCTCCGCACGCGCGTGGAGGGCTTCATGTTCAGGCCGCGGCGCTTGCTTTTCCGCCTCTCTCCTCTGCCCGGCTCCTTCCGTGCCGCAATTCGTTTCTGGACCACCCCTCCCGTTTCCGTCTCTCTCCTCTGCCCGGCTCCTTCCGTGCCGCAATTCGTTTCCGGACCACCCTTCCCGATGATTGAACGCTACTTGATTCGCCGGTTCCCACCGACCAACAAAAACATCTTCGGGGAAGGTGTAGAAAGCTCTGCGGGAGGCTGGAGGCCGTCCGAGCTTTCCGAGGAGGCCCGCCCCTTCTCACCTCCAGGGGGACGAACACTGACATAAGCACAGAAGCTCGGAGGCCCAGCGCCGATCCGAGAAACCCGCGCGGACCTCCAAATTGTTTATGTTGATGTCAGCGTTCGTCCCCCGAATAGCCCCCCCGGGCTCGCCGCCGAGAGGAGAGGCGGTGAACAGCGCAGAGCTCTTAGTGTTAAGTCGGGCCTGTCCCTCTACGGGAGGAAGATTCAAGAATAGTGAAAAAAATTGTCGGGGGACGATTGTTTGACTACTCTTGCATAATTTTTGACCACCTGTGGGGGGACACGCCCGACCTAATCTTAGTGCCGGCGAAGAGCGCGCGGCCCCCGAGGCCTGGGCGGCTCGGCCGAGGCCGCGGACGAGGGCGGCAGCGGAGGCCCGCGGGGCGGGCTCGCCCTCCTCGGAGGTGGCTCGCCCCCTCCGGCCCTCCGCTCAAGGCTTCCGTCGGGCCTGTCCCTCTACGGGAGGACAAGTGAAAGACAGCCAAGAATTAGTGTGGAGATTACCCTTCCTCCAAGATCCGCCTGGAGGGGGGCGTGCCCGACCTGATCGTAGCAGATGGGGCCGGAGGATCGCGCCGCATCGCCGACGTCGCCGATGCATCGGCGATGGGTCGGCAATGCTCGGCCACGCGCAGAGGGGGGCAGGGGGAGGGGGGAAGGCTTCGTAGAAGCACCCCTGCTTCTCAGAAGGCGCGGACCTTGTCTGTAGATGTAGGGCCAGCGCCTCCTGAGAAGCAGCCTCCTTATAAGAAGCTGCCCCCCCTCCCCCATAACCCCCTTGTGCAAGCCGTCAATTTGCAAGGATGCGTACCCAGACTTCCTGGATTTCCTGATGTATCCTGAGCCAGTCGCATCATGACACGATTTCTCGGCCTACCATATCCCAGGGGAGGAAGAACCACCCCCCCCCAGTTAGCGCTTGCTGCACGGCCCAGGGCGTACGCTAAACGCCCTCTCCTGTTTGATTCCTTCCTTGGGTGCGTTGACTAAACAGCTTCGCTTGTCGGGGTGCTTTATGATGAGGGAGGCCATTATGCTCTCTAGTAGCTGGGCTCTCTCTCTCTCTCTCTCTATCGCTCGTCTTGCACTCCTTTCGCCTCCCCCCGCGTCGCCTCCTGGCGGAGAAAACACTGCCCTGTCTCTTGGGCTGCCTGGCCCGCTCTTCGCGCCCCCCCCGTCTCTCCGCCTGCAGGGTCGGCGCCCCTCGGTCCCCACAGTCAAGACGATGAAGCGAGCATTAGGTCGGGCATGTCCCCCATACAGGCGAGTTCTGTTGGAAAAATCAAGAATAGTCAAAAAATACCCAAAAAAATCCTCTCCATATTTTTGTTTGTTGATACTTGTTGTTATTTCCCTCCTGTAGAGGGGCACGCCCGATTTAAGCTCGGCCGCCTTCTGAGAAGGCCTGCTCCTCCTCAAGCCCCCCCCGGCGCGCCGGCGATCCTCTCGCCTCGTCGGCGACGGCGGAGGAGCGAGCTCCGATGGAGGAGGCCTCTGGGCATCTCGGCTGCCCCGATGCGCAGCAAGCAGCCCGTAGCGTGTTTGTCGGGCATGTCCTCCTACAGGGGGGTTTTGGACGAACCATTAAAAATAGTCAAGGCAAAAGCAAACATAGTCACGACATTGTCGAAAAATCGTCCCCAGACTATTTCTTGACAATTGTTTGAATATCTGTTTTGAATATTCCTCCTGTAGAGGGACACGCCCGACATAACCGTAGCGTGTTGGTACGGAGCTCAACACGCAGGTTGGATACGCAAGGGTGATTTTGGATGCACAAATACGCCAAAAATAGGGACACGTCCGACTTCAAGCGAGCACCCCTGTTGGGGCTCGGGAGGGGCTCTGGCCGTCGGGACGTGCCCAGGATCGGGGCCTCTTCCAGGCCGAGGCTCGCCGCGGGCAGAAGAGCCCCATCCGTTCCTTCGTCGGCGCCCCTTATGGCAGCACGATGGCTGTCTCTTGCCTCCTCTCTCCTCCTCTCGCCTCCTCTTCTTCCTCCTTCTCCCCCTCCTCCTCCCCCTCCCCCTCCTCCTCCCCTCCTCCTCCTCCTCCTCCCCCTCCTCCTCCTCCACCCCTCCTCCTCTCCCCCCTCCTCCCCCTCCTCCCCTCCTCCTCCTCCTCCTCCTCCTCCTCCTCCTCCTCCTCCTCCTCCTCCTCCTCCTCCTCCTCCTCCTCCTCCTCCTCCTCCTCCTGGATCGGGGTTGGGGACCCTCTTGGAAGCCGAGGCTCGCCGTGAGCAGAAGAGCCCCATCCGTTCCTTTGTCGGTGCCTCTTACGGCAGCACGACTGTTGCATCTTACCTCCTCTCTCGGGAAACGTAAGACTCAGGAGGAGGAGGAGGAGGAGGAGGAGGAGGAGGACCAGTGTAGACCCAAGAGTCATCAACGATGTTGGAATGAACCGTCCCGCCAAGCTCCCTCTTCGTAGGCCCCTACAACGGTTCATTTCCACTGAGGGAACTGCCTCGTTGGAAGACAACTGTGTGAAGATCCCGAAGCGTGCTAAAACATTGCGCTCGGGATTTCAACGCCACGTATCAACATGACTGTTGCGTCTTGACGATCTGGAATCTTGCCAGAACGCCACTTCTGGGATTTCAACACCGCGAATCAACATAACTGTTGCGCCCGCAGTTCAAACACTATTTCTGGTACGTTGATCATGGAAGTCCGTGAAGCTCTTGCAAGATTTTGAAGCGAGCGTGCGCGGCGCCAAGGCGAGAGCCACATGTTGAAAAGGAACCGCCCTCAATCCGTGAAACTCTTGCATTTTTTAACGAGTGAACGCGGCACTGAGGTGAGAGCCACATTTTGAAAACGACCCGCTCTCAATATGTGGAACTCTTGCATGTTTAAAACGAATGCACGCGGCGCTTATTCGAGAGCCACATTTCGAAAACGACCCGCCCTCAATCCGTGAAACTATTGCGACTTTTTAAAACGAATGTGCGCGGCGCTGAGGCGAGAACCACATGTTGAAAACGACCCGCGCTCAATCCGCTAAACTCATAAAAATATATAAACAAATGAATAGACAAATACATAAAAATGCGCGCGGCGCCAAGGCGAGAACCACATGTTGAAAATGACCTGCGCTCAATCCGTGAAACTCTTTGCAAATGTTTAAAGAGAATGCGCGCGGTACTAAGGCGAGAGTCATATTTTGAAAGCGACCCGCCCTCCATCTGTGAAACCGTTCCAACAGTTAGGCTTCAGAATCATGAATGGTGAGGATGTCTCCGGCGAAACGCCCGGCCCGCGCAGGAATGGAGGAGGAGGGGGGTGATGACTAGGGGGTGTCATTCATGGCGGGGGGGGTATCTCCCCAGAACTCATGGCGCCTCTTCTCGCTTCGAGACGTCTCCGCCCCCCTCCCCTGGGCCGCGAACTTGGACGCCCCCCCTCTCTCTTTCGGGGAAACGTAAGATTCGAGTAAGCAGGAACTCAGGTTTGCCGACATGTTGTGACGAGCGAGTCCTGGATTTTGACGGTCCCGTTGTCGTGGGATGTTTGCAGCGGGAGCTCTCTTACGTCTCCCTGACTCTCGCCTCCCCGCCCCGTCCTCGTCCGACCCCACGCCGCCGCGCCCGGCGGTTCTGGCGCCACACCCCGCGCGGCCTGCCATCCGGCCGGGCAGCGGCACCGTGCAGTGGCCACACCTGCCACGGCTGCTTGCTCCTCCTCCTCCTCCTCCTCCTCCTCCTCCTCCTCCTCCTCCTCCTCCTCCTCCTCCTCCTCCTCCTCCTCCTCCTCCTCTCCTCCTCACCTCCTCCTCCTCCCCTCCTCCTCCCCTCCTCCTCCGCCCCTCCTCCTCCTCCTCCTCCTCCTCCCTCCTCCTCCTCCTCCTCCTCCTCCTCTTCCCATCCCCCTCCTCCTCCCTCCTCCTCCTCCTCCTCCTCCTCCTCCTCCTCCTCCTCCTCCTCCTCCTCCTCCTCCTCCTCCTCCTCCTCCTCCTGTTCCTCCTCATCCTCCTGCTCCTCCTCCTCCCCCTCCTCCTCTTCCTCCTTCTCCTCCTTCTCCCCCGTAGCCATGTTGGCTCGTGCCTGTCCGTGGCCCCCTGGCTCCTAGACCCAGGCCCCGGCGTATTCTGCGACCCCAATCCTGCGGGGCAACGCGGCGGGCGCGAGGGATCTGGGGGAGCGGGGCCATTGACTCGGTTCGCATGATGGTTTGGGGGGGCCGCCCCCGCGCGGTGGCCGCCCATTCGCGCGCTGGAGGCTGAGCTGCTCGGCGCGACGGCGGCCCGGCGGGCGGCCCGCCGCCGAGCGCGGCAGGCTTGCGAGGCTGGCTCACGGCGCGCGCGGGCTGACCTGGGCGCCGCGCCGCGCGGCGTGACCGCGAGCGGGCCGCCCGCCCAGCACTGCAGCGGGCGGCCCTCGGCGAGCGCGCGCCAGAGCGTTAGCGGCGCCGCCGCAACGCCGCGCGGCACGCGGCTCGCGTCACGCCCCACGGCTGATCGCAGGCCAGCGACGAGGAGCTCCGACGCGTTGCCGCAGAGCCCCGCTTGAGAGCTGCAGTCGGCCTCGGGCCCTTCAGCCAGGATGCCATGGAGAACGCGGCGGTTTTCCGGGCGCCCGTCGACGTCCCCGACGCCCCCGCCCACGGCCACCCCGCGGCCGCGGAGGATCGGCCCACAGGGATGTGGGAGGCAGCCCCGCCCTTCGCGCTTGCCGCGGGAGGCG